TGCTTGTTTCTGTGCTTCTTTTTTGGCCAGGTCTTTGCTCAGCAGCTTGATGAGGTAATCTGCCCTGGTCTGTAGCTGCTTGGCCTGAGGCTTCTTGTCTGGATCATCTGGAAGGAGCTAAACACAAACAGTTGACATTAATGTAGGATTCTGCATGAAAACCACCAAAAACAACATTTTACAGCCACAAAGAGGAGAGTCTTAGGTTGTTAGTGAGAAACCTTTACAGACCTTGTGCGTGAGGTTAAGATCAGGGTCCATCTTGATCATCTCCCAGCTGCCATATCCATATTCATAGATTCCTATTAGGAGGCTGGAGTCATCCTCTTTTCCCCACTCAATGTCAAAGTGTGCTGCCTTTGAGTGACATGGAATCATGTACCTAATAACAAAGAACATTACAATTTACTAGAGGGTAAGACTAAGTAAAACCTGTAGAAATGCATGCTTTCTAACAACACGTGACAATTAGCACTGAATTAGGATGCCTGTTCAAATATATGTTCATACTTTATCCTTTTACATTAACAGGTATAATTTATCAAATACAACCAAAGTGCCTTCTTACTTCTTTCTCTCCTCTGGGTCCGCAGGAATGGCCTTGTGAAGAGGAGCCAGCTCTTCCTCATGAGACACAACAAGCTTGGCATTCACCTGGACTCCAGAAATCCTGAATGTTGGCCCTTTTACCTTCCCTCGTCTGCCACCTGATGATCGAATCAAACAAGAAAACAACACCTGAAGCTCATTTACCTCCGTGTGTGTCGACTGTAAATCTACACCATGATAAGATTAGGAAGCCAGCTGAGTCTTCAGCACTGATGAGTTAGACTGGGATTTAAAAATTGTGTCACTGTTTAGTGGCCAATTATGGCACACCATTGCTGTGTTGTCATTTTATTATAATCAAGGATTCAGAGCGATTCTTTCTCATGATTACCTGAGCTTCTGTCTGGTCCACAGGGGTTTTCTCGTAGTGTTCTCAAACAGCCATTGTGAACTGTTTCTGCGAGGCGTTTAAGGTCATGTTCAGACTTATCTACAAGTTCTGCATCACGAGCAATAGCGTCCAACCTGGAAGAATAGAGTGATGGGTGCTATTTAGACCAATTGCCGTTAAAAAAAATCACTAATCTCTCTCGTTTGCTTTGCTCACCTTTCAAGCGGTCCTCCAAACTTTTTATAACTCTTTACAAATCTATAAAAAGTTGAGATTTAAAAAAAATGTTGAGATGAGAATATTTGGTAAAAAAAAAACACAGTGAAAATTGTTTAAATAATCACCTCCTGATCTCTGCATCACTGAAACCTTTGATATTCTCTCGTGGTATGGTTCTGGGTCGCCCTCGTTTCTTTGGCCTTTTACGGTCTGAGGGAGAGTCACTGTCGGAGCCAGAGTATCTCCTGCTTCTGCTCTGCCGGCCCTCAACAGCATTAAAGCTTATCTGTTAACAAAGATGAGGACAAAAAAGTAAATCAAGAATAAATTTACTTAGTAATAGATGTCAATGAGTGACTGTTTCTTGCAAAAAAAAGAAAACCCCCCAAAAAACTCATCTATTCATCCATGTGTAATCAACTTTTTGATGTGTTCAGTACTTACAGACAATTCAAATACTTTCTCCAGGTTTATGCTGAATACAATATTTTTTAAAAATGTTGAACGTGCAGTGAAGGATATTCGCTTCATTACTGTGTACCTGTTTGGCACAATTCCTCATTCGTGGTAGAAGGTAGATTTCTTCCAGCTCCTTTTGTCTCTCCTCTTCCTCCATCCTTCTCCTCTGCTCCTCAGGAATAATATCATCCCAGCTGCGCTGACTACGCTCAGAGTCGATGTCTAGTTCCTCATCTTCCATCACTGAGAAGTTGGCTACCTGTACCGTTTAAAATATTACATGTAAATATTGATAATCAAAAAATACTTATTGTTTGATGTTAGTTTTCACTAAGTCTGGAAAGATGTTTATTAAACCTTAAACTGAGACAGCAGTTCTTCTCCAACTGTGGAGGGTCCAGGGTCATTTTCTCTGGTCTCGGCTCTTTTTAGGATCTCATCAATGTCCATTTCCTGAAAAGGAGATTATTTCCCCCCCCATAAATAAATCAATAAAATATCACATAATTACACACATCATTGATTACATACCTGAGGCTCCTGCTCTTCACCCTCTGGCTCTTTGAAAAGCTCTTCAGCACCAAACTTCAAGATGGCAGTAAGTTCCTCTTTATTGAAAGGTGCAGAACTATAAGAAATATAATGTATAATATAAATATAATATCTTTGGAGTAACAAAGAAGCAGTTGCACAGGCATTTTCTAACAAAGTCGTGTGACACTTATATTCAAAATAACAGCCTAATTAAAAGAAGAATTCTGTCCCTAATGTGACCAATGTGGGAAATGAGAAATTTGTGTGGACCAGGTCTAAGACACACCAATTTATCAGTACCGCACTACTTAACCAATTTCTGGAATCTGTAGGTGCTGCATTGGAACAGAATTTGGGATTCTAAGGCACATGTTCTCTCCCTTTTATCCCTTGTAATATTTGATGCAGAAACATTAGACCAAAGCTGTAGTAAAACAAGGGTAGTTTCTTGCCTGGAGGGGGCAGCGCCCGTGTGGAGAACAGTTTTTCCGGTGGTATCCATCCTCTGAATGACCAAGTGGTCCAGCACCATTTTCTTCTTGGCTCTTTCTATAATGTCTTCTTCCACTGAGCTCTTCGTCACAAGGCGGTAGATGTTCACCTGACAATGAAAACACAAGGAGACCGTGAGATAAAACCAAGTACCTTCTGAAGATCAACACAAACAAAAAGTATAACTTGTGTAGACATAGGCGGTCAAGACATAGAAAAACAGACACACCTGTTTCTTCTGTCCAATTCTGTGAGCTCTGGCCTGAGCCTGTAGGTCATTCTGAGGGTTCCAATCAGAGTCAAAGATGACCACTGTGTCAGCTGATGCCAGATTGATACCCAGACCTCCAGCACGAGTGGACAACAGAAAGCAGAAATCCTGGACACAGAAGAGGAGGCTGGCTTTATTCCAGTTCCTGTTTGTTTCAATGCTTTACTGATAACCTTGTCTTTAAATAAGGTCGTAGTCGCTCACCTCTGAGTTCTCAGCGTTAAAGTGGTCCAAGGCCTGTTTCCTCATTTCTCCTTTGATGGAGCCATCTAATCGCTGAGGGACATTTCAAAATAAGAAAGTGTTATTGAAGACTACAGCTGCTTCTGTAGTTTTTCACCCAATTTCACACTTCATTGTGTCAACTATTTTAGATAAATGGGTCCACAGTTCTCAGAGCATACTATGGATCTTCCCATCCACATCTACACGACACAACAAAACCTGCAAGCACATAGTGACATTTTTTTATGTCATCACTGATGTTTCTAAGCAGGCGTCCAGCTTCACAGACGTAAATAATTCTTAATTATTCAGACATAAGGATGCAGTGACCAACAGTGACTGAAAGAAGGAGATATTTTTTTTATTAGGACACATTTCTAAAACAAAGTGAAAAAAGGATTTTCCACCATAAGCTAATCTAGGCATCTATTAACTTGTTTGTTAATTATATTAATATGTTGCCTTAATTCACAAAGTTTGTTTTAAAAAAAGATGATTACATGAAAGCAGGGTGTGGTCTACCTGAAAGAGGAATTGACGACTTTTGAGATAGTCAGCCAGGATGTCCAGCATTCGAACCATCTGGGAGAAGATGAGAACTCTGTGGCCTCTCTCCTTCAGACGCACCAACAGTTTGTCCAACAAAACCAACTTCCCACTGCTTCGGATCAGTTGCTGTGAAGAACAAAGAACTTGTCAGAAACCTTCAAGTACAATGAATCAAATGGAAACCCTTTAAATATCCGCAGGCTCTCCTGAAAATGCAGTTCTTTTAAAAATACAATTTTTTTTTTCTTTTCAGGCAGAAGTTCTGCCACTGTCTATTTGGTTAGAAAAAGATGTGTGTAAGGTTTAGAACAGTACAGCAGAAGTGATGCTTCCACATGATGAGTCAAATAAAGCTCACCTGTAAAGCCTCAGCTCTGTTTAGAAACCCGTTGTCCTCTGGCGGTTTGATAAGGTAACAGTGATTGCAGCACTTTTTCAGCTCCATCATGATGTTCAGGAAGCCTGACGTGCTTCCTTTAGTACCTTTACTCAGAGCCTTGTAGTTCCTGGTCAGAATCCATCTAACAAAAGAACAGAAAACTAAATCCTTTAGAATATGTGTGAAAGAAAACATAATGTAAATGGCCCCCATGTGATAATACAAATCTTAAGTTTTGCCTTCTTTT